CTGGTCTCTTGGTTGTTCGCGAATAACACCCTCATTCTTTAGCTCCTTTCTACTGTCTTCGACATATATCTTGCAGAACATCGATAATGCGGTTTCCGTCCATCCAGTGCCGGGAACGGGATCATTTTCCGGACAGCAGTATTTCCTAATGATCAACACTGGGTTTGAAGTTTTGGATGACGTAGCGGAGCCGGTGTAGTTGAACAGAATCCTCTTATCTTCAGAGATCATTCTAGCTTGATTCTCCGCGGAACCCACCACATGGCGTCCCACCTCCACCAAGCAACGCGTATCGAGATCCTTGGCTGAATCTTCGAGATTCACTGCAATCCCCTGCCATTGTTTGTGTCTTGCTTCCTGGTCTGGGTCTCGATAAATAGGCAAGTTAAACAGCTGGGGCATTCTGTAGGGTTTGATCTCCAGTAAGGTAGTCAGTACAGAGGGTAGAGTGTTATAGATAACAAGAATTTCGTAGTGACCTTCGATGAATAGTAGATGTACGTCTTGGTAAAAGGTCCAGTCAACTGGCGGAATATCAGTCAGATTCAAAGTATAGCTGCTGAGGATGGAAGCTGTCGGAAACCAAAAAGCCCTCCGGTGACCAGTAGATATATATACTAGGTAATCTCTGGTACATCGCCAAGGCAAGTTGATTTACTTCCTTGTAGGAATGGAATACATGATATTCGTAGGCAAGCTTCGATGAATACACCATGATTTCTGGGGCGGTGATCCATTCACTCCAAACAATTTTGTACATGTGCTATTTCGTTGGCCGGGGCTATCCCATTGTACCCAGAATATGAGGAAATACCCTCCTTTCTGAATTCTCCTGAACATCTGATTCACATCATTCTGTCTGACCCAAACGTGGTGAACACTTTTCTTTGTCCCGCAGGTCGACACCATACTAAGGTAAACCGCACAGACGTCCATTGACCTTGAAGTTTTAATAGCCGAAGGTAAGTGCGTCAATAGGCATCCAAGCATGGCAAACGTTTCTTATCCAACAAAGATTTAAATAATACTTGGTCTACCTTATTCTCAGCTGATATTACCGACTGGAGTTTCACCAGAAAAGTGAGGTACCTTCTGGAGTAGTTTCTCAGCTGCACATGAATGCAAAGCGCCACCCTAACTTATGGAGTTGGCTAGCTGGATGCAAGCTGAACTCCAATGTAGCCACATCGCAAAATTCAAAAAACAACGTCTAGTTTTATTTGGGATACGATAGGGTGATCCATAAAACTATTATACAGACCAAATCCACGGGCAAGTGATTCAAAGAAAGGGAACGTGATAAGTTGGGAGCTTATACATCCACGATGATTAGTGCAGCCTACCTCACTTGTGTCTACACTTGCGCCTTGATACGGACAAATACCAAAGAGTTTTGCTATCCGGGCAGTACTGTTTGGCTATTCGGGCAATAACCCACTTTTCTAGCCAATCAGCGCCTGCCGCTCTAACTTTAAATTTCCCCGCCCCGCTGCACCTACTCACGGGCCATATAGCGCACCTACCTATCGTCTACGCCGCACTTACATAAAGCAGCTAGGCGCCCACAACCTGGAAGCCACGGTCGCAATTGCCCCTTATCAAAAGTAGGTAATTATAATCGAACCTAGGCAATTGCGACCGTTGGCAATTGCGACTGTGGGCAATTGCGACTATGGGCAATTGCGACCGTGGCTTGTGGGCGCCTGGCTGCCTTACGTAAGTGCGGCGCTGTTAAGTGAGTGTGGGGTAGGGGCCGAGCTTAGGGCTGGAGGTCCCTCATTGGTCAGAAAAGTGGGCTACTGCCCGAATAGCCAAACAGTACTGCCCGGATAGCAAAACTCATACCAAAACAAAAAGAACGAAATTGACCTTTTCCGGGGGAAAGGAGATATTGCATACAAGCAATGTCGCAGCTCGAGGTTGTTGCTCTTCAAGGCAAAAGCGCAGGGTGGCCATCAGCATTGATTAGTATACAAAATGACCAAATTGATATTTGTGAAGACTAATGCTATTTATAGACTTGAGCACTATTCCTGTAAAGTGGAGATTCTCTAGATGCCAGATCCGTTGGAAGGTGCCTTTCTCATGTCATTGAGAAGCTCCGATCCTTATCCGCTCCAAGCCTTAAGTAATGGGATGCAGCAATGTGCCGCTTTTCGTAGAGAAGATTATGAATCCTCAGCCTGGGTCCACCCCTGGGTCCTGGGCCTGTGAATACCAATTTGAATGCCTTACGTTTCGGGTTTTGTTTTTCGATCTCTCCTTGGTCTTCGACCAAACGGATCAAGTTGTCTATGACAATTTCCATTCCGTCTTCTGTATCATGTCGACCAACAAAGTCGATAAAACAGGTAAGCTCGACTTTCCAGGACACTTTACGAACCAACTCTCTGAAGAAGCCGCATAAATATTCGATATCGTGTTTCTTGGAGCTTTCGAAGGCCAGAACATTGCCAGCTTCATCCGGGCAGCACTTTCTGGCGTACCTCTCAACAACCTGATAGATTAGAGATGTCATCATGGTCAGAGCAACGATCCCCGACTCGCTGCGCTCGGGATGCTCCGTGCCCCCCATGAAGAAGACTAGAGAACCGAAGGGCTTGCCTGCAAGGAAATCCCGCCGCTTCTGTTGGGCCAATCTGCGACACAATACCGATAGTTGACTCAATTGAAAGTTTTCCCACAGATAGTTGGATTCCATGTCGCAGTCGATGAGTACTATGCATGACTTTCTGACTTGCTCCCACGCTGCCACTTCGCGTGAGGCCAGAATCTGAGGCCAAAGTGGTCCATGAACCTCGTGCGACGCATGGTACAAGTTGACCTCTTTGTCTCCCACCCATTGAAGATCCTGATCGTCGCGGCCGTGGAGCCACTGGATGTCGGCACGAGGATTATCGAGAAGAATTAGCTCCTGCATGGTATCCCATACTCCTTTTTCAGAGGTGGACTTCGGAGACGACATGATGGGCAATTCACAATGTCCTGGTCTTATACATCAGTTTGCCATGACGTAAGGAGACATTGAAAGGAAAGGTATTGTAACTCACCACTATTTGACCAGGGGCAGAATATCTTCAGGCAAAGTTGAGTTTGAAATATCCTTGCAGCTAGGTCGCCTGGCTTCGGTTTTCTGACAGTTTTTGTATGAGAAGGTGGTTGTTGGGTCTTCTACCACCGGCGAAAAGACTGGCAAGCTGTGAAGATATGAACCTGGGGCACTGAAAATGTCTTCAGTGGAGGTGGGAAGATTCGTTGGTTGGCGTTTAATCACGAAGAAAAGTCGATAGATAGATCGGCTGCTGAAACTAATAGGAATCTCTCCTCGAAATAGGTTACCCCCTATCCTATGAATACTAAGTCCCAAGATAGATTGACCTTTTCTTGTTAAGCTACCTTTCCAGCAGTGACTAGGCTTACAAGGGCACACGGTCTTTGCTCAAAGAGCATCCGCTTTGAACATGAACATTTGTGGCGGTGATGACTTGATGCAGTACGGTGAGTGATCTACGCGTGTTCCAATCTCGCGCTTACCAGCATCAGTTTGGGTGCGGTTACCATTGTTCTGGGCTTTGTGGAAATTCGCGATCCAATGAGAGCCATTGCTTCTTTCTCACCTGTGCAGACGCCCAAGCGCTCTCAAACGAGCTTGCTTGCCCTGGGGCGTTAGCAAGTCCAATAGGGTGAAGATTGTGCGGCCCCAAAAACTTACCCAGCGGATGCCATTTCTTTTTGGAATGTGTTCACACCTGCTTCTAAACCAGTTCGCAATGATCGCATGGTCAATTTGGTGTGGTCCCTGGACCTGTTTCGTGCGGTACTAAAGGTATGAGGTAACAAAGATGACAACACGTTAACGTTTCTTTGGGAGCGGTGGGCGGTAAAGGTTGAAGTCGCACGACATCCGGCTCCATCAAAGGATCGGGCAACAGCTCTGTTTTCCCCCAAAGAGACGAACTATCAAAGGAAGAATTAATATCTCAAGATAAACCCGACGACCTTATAAAGGAAATGTTTGATTAGAGGGAACGGAGACAAAACACTCAAGGCCTTTGAGCCGAATCTCGACCTTATCAAACAACGGTTTCAAAAACAAGGTCGGACCAAAGATTTCGAAGAATCGTCAGTTGGAGACTCTGCGAGACCACATTTTCGTAACACGAATACCACCGATAGAGCAGGCGTCAAATCCGTAATCTATGCCAAACGGCACTAGTGCTCGCGGAGTATAATGCCCAAGATGGAGTTCTGGAAATAACAGCCAGACTGATAAGCAAGCGCTCGTGGGACTGCAACTCAAGTATTTCAGAACAGTTCATCGAGCTTTTCTCGGCTTTGACAAGTATCTGGGTGATATTCAAGGCACGCAGAGCGATCGCAGGGCCATTGACTACAAGTTACGTGCGGGGTAGGGTACACCTTGGAAGACAAGGTCTAATGTAGCCTCTTTACCTAACGCGGGGACTCTAGCTATATGAGTGGGCATCGTGGAAGACCTCACCACCTCCGAGCACAGAGAAGCACTTCGGGCCTGTCGCGGCCTGTCTATAGCCCAAAGCCCGAAAGCTCCTAACAGCTCAACCGCTAGGACTATCGCCAGGATCATCATCAAAATTACCGGCAAGGATACCGCCCATCAACACCTAATGTCAATCTGTCATTTTCACAAGGCTATGATCAACATACCCCACAGCCAAGTAGGCCGCAATCATACCGGCAAGGAGAATTAACGGGGAACCCAGGATTTTATGACCCTTCAACTCCCCTTGATCATCAAAAAGAGAGCCAGAACAACCAGTCCCCCCCCTTTTTTTTTTTGGGAGGGGGGGGGCCTTTCGGGAGTACCTTTTCGCAGATGTAGATGGGGAAAATACTGAAGGACTTCAGAATTCCGTACATTCAGCTTTGACTCGTGCTTTCCTGGATGAAATGCATTTCTTTTTGCATTCACACATGCCTCAGTCTACCTTGCTTCAATTATCTCAAAAAACCTGTATGACCTCTTCTAAGTATTAGTGATCATTCCTTTTTTCTTGACGTTGACTTCATCTACCCCATTATCGATTGCCCGACAAATCCTCTCATTCGACGTCAATATTGTCTCAACTGCCGGGAAGTGCAACGCTCTATTTGCAGATTCTTCTGGCTCAACTAAGAATCTTGAGAAGACATCACCAATAGGGATCAAGCATGATCGGCCCATGACCCCAAGTGATGCGTCCCACTTGGGATTCAAGAAACGCTGAAAGACTCTGAGGAACCCGGATAACAAAGCTGTTTCAAGCAAATACTGTTCTATCATAGCATCCAGTAGCTTCATCGCACATGCAGAATCCCATCTTTAGACATGTTTTTCTGTGGTGAACCTCAATCGTTGAGATGTCAGGCCAGAGAATATTGATGCTCTAGACCCTGTGAGCGGACCTGTTTCTGGAAGTCGGACGGTCCGTACTTGGCAGTGAGCAGAATGCAAATATCATGTCGGGTTGCCTTGAGATTGGCTGATTCAGTGCGAAAATTAGTGAGATGCATGCCCGAATTTTGCTTTCAGGCAGTCCCTACCTTAGCGGCTCAGCCCACTAGGTGCCCACTCCACTACCTCGACTACCTCAGTACCCGCCTGCGGGCCGACGGGGTCGTGCTGCAATCGCCCCACTCCTGACCACTATCCGTAATCACGGTACTTGTTGCAATCCAGTCATCGAGCTATTGGCATCGCGGAGGGTGCGGCGCCTTGGCAACAAAGATATTGGCTTGAGATGCACTTACACCTAAATGCACACCACCTAGAATGACATTCGAGGTAGCAAGATTGACTGACCGAAGGTCCCTTACTTATTGTTGCTTTCCAATTTTTCTATGTTCTTGACCAAATAGAGATCAATTTTGATTGAATTCTCTCAGTACGCTCATTTAAATTCTTTGGCAGATGTCTCAAAAACACTGCGTTGATGGCGCATTTCAATCCACACTCGCTGTCGAAGTGAGTAACGAATTAATGAGGCTGTAGATGGTGGAGAGGCAAGCACCGGCAAGTTCTAGCGACCGTTTCTCAAAAATCGGTTTTTTGTCATTTCTTTCTTGATTCTTGAGAAAAAACAAGATAGTATGAAGTACGTTAATTTTCTAATCTTTTTTATGTATGGCATAACGAGAGAAATCCTTTCGCAAACGATGAATGAATGTTTTCATTAGTGCGATTTTGTGGTCGATGGCATGTGATTAAGTGTTGGAGTCTAGGATATGAAAGATTGTGTTCATTGTAATGAACGAAAACCATCATGCTTGCGGAACTCGATCCTAAAGCCTAAATTTTGATGCTCATCGGGCCTTCGGGACTTTCGAAACTTCCTCAGGTTGACGGTGCATATGGCAGCAATGGTAGTGCTAAATCAACAAGATGGCAAGGGCCCTCACTTGGGAAGAGTGCATCATCCCAGTCGCTTAGTCGAGGACTCGTGCAGATCAGTTGAAATGTCGGTACGTAATCATCGCCAGTGTCACTTAGACGGATCATCTTCATTAAGGTCTGTATGACCTTTGTCACTCCGGAAGAATCCTCCATATCCCTGCGAGAACCCACACCATCAATGAAACAGACAATCCTTCGCTCTGGCTGCTGATGATCCTTCACCGGAGGGAGTGTTCGGATCACTGTGTCGAGCATTCCACATAGTTGGTCGAGATCGTCTGTCTCAACTTCCTCGCGGAATTCGTGTCCAACCGATATCACATCTTTGTACTCGATTATAAATGCGCGGATGTAGGCGAAGATCTGGGCCAAGAGAGAGCGTATCATGAGCAGTCCTGTACTGACGCCGCGTTGGTGTGGTTCTCGACCGCAATAGAAGACAAGGCTGATGATGTTCCGATGCTCATTATGTTGTCTGACTTGAGCGCATCGCAAGTCTTCTACCAGAGTGCTGCAGGCCAGTGACAATGGAGTCACTCTGAGGCCCCTGCACAAGGTCCAGATGCGATGGGTGTCATCGGAGTTTTGCGACTCTCTGTGAGCTCGTAGACAGAGAGAACTATCGTAAATGAACAAGCTACCTGGCTGCTCCTTGTTGACGAAATTGTTACAACAGACCATGGCTTTCGTGACAGATTCTCCCTTCTGGAATTGGACAGGGATATGATTGGCAGTTTCGTTGATGTGTCCAGTATCGACCGTTTCGTCAACACTAACATTCGGATTACGGAGAAGTCTTATCAAGTCGTGCAAGTATTCTTGACCCTCTTCGATGGTCCATATTCGCGGACTTTCATCATCATCAGCCATGATGTGTGATGGAGGATATTCTCTTGTCTAGAATGGAGGTCATGAGCTGGACTTCTTGATGGTAGATATGAGCCAAGTGTCATCAGGAGTGAGGCTTACCAACAGGGTTAAAACGAATCAAGAGATGGACCTCAACTAACCCAGAAAAGTGTCGCGAATACGCGAGGTAATCGCAGTAAGGGACGAGAAGTGAGAGTACGACGATCTGCCCAGCAGATCAAGTTCTGTGTTGAATAGTCTACGTGAAAGAGTATGGAGGTGGCATCAAATCAGGAATCAATTCCCATACGGGCATTGGAGGTTTATATGATTCTTTTCTGAGCTTGCATTGGGACTGCTGTATGTCTGGTTCCTAACCCTGAAGCACTGAACATGTTCTTTACACCAGACAGTAAACGACCCGTAAACCCTCCCTCCCTTGCTCTCGCGTGAATTCCGAAAGCGAACTAACTTCCTAGGCTCTTTCAAGCTTCTCATGAAAGCTAATATGAAGGAAAACTGATGCTGGTGGTGCCCACTTGACGTTGCATCATCATGATCGAGCTGGTTCTGCGTGACATACGTAGCTTTCATCAACGCTCTACTGGACAGCGACCGTATCTTTGGTAATCCAGACCTTCGGTGACCATGACTGAACAGTGTCCTTGATGTAGCCACCTCAGCACCCATACCTAGCCGTTGACTTTGACCATGCGCAGTGTAGACAGAAACTGGGTAGTAGCCAGCCATGGGCGATGAGGGAGCCAGAGACCGAAGTAGCTTGTGACTTTCGTTGGCCCCTCAAGCACGCTGATAGGTATTCGCATGCGAGAAATCGCGTCAAAGACCAGCAGGGAATCTGCATGTATCCAGATTTTGCTTCCCTGGGATTGGGTGTCTTTCATCGAGTGTCTATGAGATGTGACCCGGATGACAAGTTCATCACGACATCGTTTCGTAGAAAACTCAACCGAGAACTGTTCAGATTGCATACATACATGAATGAATTTAATGGGAATGACTGCATGTGGCCTTCCCAATCATCAGGTACAAGCTTTGCCTTATATTTTGAACAACCGTCCACCAATAGACTCCACTTTGGCATCAAGACATTATCTTCATAATCGCGACACAAAGAAAGTGGACGTATTCAAGTCTGCTATACCGTAACAGTTGAGCATCAGGAGATTTCTTGTTGACTTGGGGAGGTTGATTAATTACTCAATCACTTTGTCGGTACTTGGGTACCCGAGAGCGGTTGAGCTTTGACCCTCGGTGGCCAAGTGGCAATGGTGGAACAGCTCGGAGCTTATCGTTTGTCACACTCCGCTTCTCATGACCTCTTTCTTTACACATCTGCACACTCGGCAACGGCTCTCACTGATACATGTAGCACCAATTTCATCGCCAACAAAGGTCGCTTGTTAGAATGGCTTGGTGGCATGATCTATCTAATGAGCTTAAGAACCAGATTTGGGGCCATCTCCTCAAATGCGGCAGCGAAGAGAACCATTCATTAGCCCCGTACGCTTCCATCTCTTCCGAATGGCAGAAAATCATCGAACCCTTCGTCTTTGAAGAGATATACATCTCCCTCCATTCTCAAAAGTCCACCTCTAGTCATCGAAAGGTTCTTCAAGCCCGCAGCATCCTAACCAAACCACGCCAGAAAGTCCTCAAACGACTTCGTGTTCGTATCGACTATGATGCCACCAAGACGTCCAAAAACTACAGGAGGGCGTTTGCGGAGGTCATAGCTTCCTTGTTCGACTTGTTGCAGACCTGGAAGACGGAAGATGCCAAAATTGGCCTCGAAATCGTCGAAGTACGGCCCTGCGGTCCCCCACTGCTCACGTACGGAGGAGAGCTTCTGCGGCAGCGAAAGTGGTCAATCGGTTGCGTGTGGTCGCTCCGCATCGTGAAACCACAATCTTACATTTCCCGCAGTACCGGGCCCGAGCTTGCCGACCTTATTTTGACTGGACTTGCGCCTGGTCTGGACACATTGGACTACAACTACGAAATCGGTTGCCGGCCTGGACATAAGCACAAGCTTTGCCTAGTCACGGACTGGCAGATTGCGCCGGTGGAAGTGAAGTCGCTCACTATCCGAGAATCTTGCGACCAGAGCAACCTGAACACGCAACATGACTGGATCGAATACATTCGCACGCATCAGGGCATTCCTGAGCAATTATATCAACAGAGCCGCGGGCTGGAGAATCTGTGTGTCTCGTTTGCCATCGACGCGACTGACTTCTTTTCCCACATGATGGACCAGCCCAAGAACGAAGGCCCGCCCCCGCAGCACAGCGTCGCTGGCCCTGATTGGCCTGAACTACAGCTCATCAGTCTGACGTCTCATTCTATCTGGGACAAGGCACCCGAGATGACAAACAAGCTGCTGTTGTCAGCCGCTAGAGCTGCCTGCCGTATGCCAAAGTTGAAGGTGATGGAGCTCTGGAACGCTCGGGAGCAATATATTATCTCGGCAGGCTGTTTCCGTTACTCCATTAAGAAAGACGGCACCCCTACCTTCGTATGGGAGAGTACATGGGACTTCGAGGTTGAAGAAGCAACAAAGGCGGCGTGGATCGATGCCGCCAAGTCACATTCTTCTCACGATCTGATTTTCGAAGTACGAAAGATTGCCGCTGAGCTACCCTGGCCCTTCTCACCCGCCTGGGCTCACGCGAAAGCGTTTTCCTATTGACTGCAATTCCTCTCAGTCTCTGGCTGGATCAAACACGGAAAACAGCATGGGTCTGCACGTGGCTAATCTAGGGTTGAATTAAAGATGTTCCAATGTGAAACTTCTAAAGTTGATTGATTCTTGGACATTCGTCTGGAGTGAGCGAGTTGAGATCGTACATGCAACGAAATTTTCATCCTTTGCCTGTAGGAAAACAATACCCACGACCAAATTAATGTTGCACTCTTGATATTGATTGCAATAAAACAAAAGGTACCCATCCAGGTGTTCGAATTTCGTTACAGATCATCATTCTATTCACTCAATATTACGATACCTTTGGGTTGCCAAGACGACTGTGATCTTTACCACAAAACGGAAGTTTGCATCAATGCCATTATTCCCAGCCGCGACCCAAGAGCTTCTAACCGACACGGAACAAGCGCGCCGCCGCATGGCACACGGAACTCTCAACTTCACTGCTTTGCTTCCAAATGCCAAGGAAAATCTTCGTGATTAACCTTTCGAGGTACTAGTCAACGACACTAGGGGCAGCCACAACGGCTCATGGTCACCGTCTCTCGCCATGTCGGTAGGCTTCGCTCAGATTTAGATCAGCCACAGTCGCGCTAAGCGGGAGAGGTTGGGGGCCTCCAGCTTGCATTGTTCTGGTTGTTCTGGACCGTGCTGTCGCGTTGCCGGAGTCGCGCTCGATACGAGCGTCTGTTCCCGCGTCATGAGCGGCCTTTTCCGTGTTTGTCTTGTTTGTGGTATACTATTGAAGGGTTGCATTCCGGTTCGTGTCTCGCAGGCAAGGCAGGTTGATGTTGTTCGTGAATTAAGGTAAGCAGGGGTTTATTGCCGATCATATCGGTACTTGCGTATTGGCCACGTCCCAGCAGGGGTATGTTAGTGCTTGGGGGCTCTTGAGATCCGCGAGCTTAATGGTTCCCAGAATAACCGTAATACCGGGGCAGACAGAGTGCCAAGTCACCGAGTCGCAGGTAAGCCCGCGATGCGAAGTAATCATTGCGGCCGACAGGGAAGCTAAGGGAATTCGTTCAAAGTCGGAGACAATGTTTCTATCTATCAAGAAACATCGGGTTTGGGTAGTGACGTCAATCAACTGATCTAGAGACACTAGGGAGAAGGGGCACAAGTCAAATGCAAACCGACAGACTATACTCAAAGTTGCATAACCCAGAACTGGAGGCTCCGGTAGTTTATTCCTAGACAGCGATGGACAAAGGAAGTTCTCGTCCATGGTTGCGCGGGAACATGATTGAGGTGAGCTTATCGCCCACGGACATTTTTGGTGATTCCTCTTCAACATTAAACGCACGGCCAAGTATACCTGAAAGCCGCGAACTGTGAAAAAGGCCCAAATTGGGCGTTAGCGGGAGGCTTCGGTGGGCTTTCGACGGCGCCGTTGACATCGATGCGCCGCGCTACTGCAGGTCCTTGGCAAACATAAGCCTCCAAACATTCAACTTAACAGCACTACTTCGGGAACGAGCCAGGTAAGCCAGGGGTGACCGCGGAGGAGCTCAGGAGCTCAGCGGTGAGGCTCTCATGTAAGTTACCTAACTGCAAGTTTCCACACCCTCGGACCATTTACTATGGCAAACATAACGCCCGGCGCCCATTCCGGCTCGGAGTCGAGTTCTTCCCCGTCAGTTATGCAGCGTGCCGTCCCAAGCTCCGGAGGAGGGCCCAGACGCATTCCCACTTTTTCTTATCCCACTAATGAAAGGGGGCACTCAGATGCTTTTTTCAATGTCTCGTTTGCTGCTAGACCATCTAAGCTTGTTTGGACACGGGACTAATGACGGCGACATGCATGTTATCAACCCTAAGACGTCGAGGTTTGAGAGCCGTTTGCTTTTCTCGATGGTTGCCGAGGGCTACTAGGCCCGTCTTCCCCTTGCATAGTGTGTTCTATCTTCCCTGAGGTTGACATACCACGCGGCGAGGGAGCTTGAGCCAGGGACAATTGGAAAGATATAAGATAGATGTGTTGGTCTCCGACTTTTCAAAAGATGGAGAGATGACAAGGCACACAGAGTGACATCTTAATTCTTCATTCTTCATTCTTTCACTTGCTCACAGGTCTCTTGTCGTTTTCGACCCCGAGTATCACAGTCACTACAACACTACACTCACTCACTCTTTCTAAGATGAAGTGCTACATTGTTGCTGCTTTCGCCGCCGCGGCCGCGGCCCTCCCCGAGGCTGCCAACCTTGCCGGTCGTCAGAATGGCTGCAACGCCGACAACTGCCTCCGCGCCGTGCGGGCAACTCGCTTCGGAACTGCCACTATGGAGCTTCG